CAGTTACCTGAAATGGATCATAATAAAAAATGTCTTTCAAACTTATAAAATACTTTATACCTAGAAAAGTAAGATAACATAAATTGTGTACAGTGTTAAAGTTTTATTTGTCTTATACAAATGTACACATATATGTATATTTTTATTCATGTATATATGAATCAATTTTTGCCATAATTAAGCATGTTTGTTGCAGTATTTGGACAATCAATAGATTTCTGCGGACCCTGTCTCTATGCTTCTTAATTTTCAGAAAAGTTGTAGCAACTGTGATTTTGGGGAAGCCTTTATATCAAAGACTAAAAATTTACTTTCATTATTCTAAAACCTGTATTGGAGCTTAAATTCTGAATCCCTTGTTTGCAAAAAAAATAAAAATCCTTGCGCTGCTAACTGCAAGGGCAGCAGTTTGGAACTACCAACCACTCCTTGAAAGACAAGAGGTTTTACTCCGGTAAAGATCACAGTCCTGCTCTGACCTAGAGCATCTATGTGAGAGACCATTGACTGGTTGGCAGGGAGTTTAATTTGGACTCCACATGCATTTATAGCATGAGTCTTCTGTGTATTATACCTCCATTGAATCCTGCTGATCCTTAACCAAGGGTATGTACATAGTTTTGCCATCAGGCAAAGTGGATAACCTCCTAAGACCAGAGGTTTCTGGTTGGGATTTGCCTGGCATGTCCTTGATGGAGATCACCTTAATGGAAACAGTCATTCCCTGCCTAGGTTGGAAGGCCCTAGACCAATCTTTAAACTCCTCTAATGTCCCAATCATAAATTTTGTTCTTTCTTCTATAGTCCCACCTGTGATGGGCATATATTGATCAGGGCCACCAGTCATGAATTTGTTTCCGTTATTCCTTGCTGTGTCTCCAATTATATTTGAGATTAGGGTCTCTTTTATACCCTGAAACATATTGAAACCCTGAAACTATATTATATATAGTGGGTTGTTGATGACTAGAATATAAACCTAGTCCAGAGCTGTCCAAAAAATATATAATGTAAACACAGGTAGGGTTTAAATTTTTCTAGGTGCTACATTAAAACAAGAAGGAAAAAAGTAAGCAAA